TGATGGTGAGACAATGCCTCAATAACCCAATATTCTAATATATCCACAAGTACACTAAAATAGCACATGAGCGTGTGAAGTGGCAAGTAAAGCAAGTTTGTTCGATACATGCCATACACATGATTATAAAATTCCATTCATACAATGCATGATCAACATTCTCCACTTTATATCTTCTTTATTTCCTCCGACTGAATTTGTGGACTAATAACATAATAGGACTAAGTCCATGTGATTGGATTAACCCAACCTAACTAATCATGAGAGGTAACCTGATCAAAAACACCTTTGCCCCTTTTTGGACCACAGATTCCCCCTTCCTTGAATATTAGGAGTGTCGTATGTCTAATCTATCCATCGATAGTACTATGATTTTCAAACAAGAAAAATTGAGCAATGGGGCCTTTAAGGTGCTAATGTACCATATGAATTTCAAATAATATATCCCTACAACCCTAAGGTGAACTCCCACCTTTTTAATGATCATGCTCATACAATTTTAGTAATATATATTTAACTCATTAGGAATGCTCATACAACAATTACTAACATTTCAAACTTGTATCCGATTTCAAAATTATTTACAAATAAGTGTAAATAGGTTTTAAACATAGAAATAATACTATAGTTTAATATCACTTCACATAGATTTTTAAAATGCTAAATATTCAAACAAATAAATTATTAGTTTTTGCAATAGATTATGTATTCACACTTTCACAAAACTTATAACCATCCAAATACACAAGTAAAATGACTAAATTATCTAGTTATTTTAACTCTTTTATCATAAAAAGGGTTATTATGGGAAAAAGTTTGAGCCTGTTTTAGCAGTGGATATTGCTCCTTTCGGTGGCCATATTTTCCACAGTTAAAGCAAACAACATCCAAAGCTTCATATTCAAGTTTGTAAACTCGGTTCCTGATCACAAATCTAGATTGTAGTGTCTTGTTTAAATCTACCTCGACATTAACTCTAGCAAAACGTCCTCTCTCCATAGATGTGCCATTATTCCTATAGTGCACCAGTGTATTTATATCCACCTTTAAGGCCCTACCTACCATATTTCCTAGTTCCAACATGAAATCCTCAGTGTAACAGTGTATGGGAAGAGTGGGGACCCTTACCCAAACTGCAAGTTTACTCACAGTGTTATTATAAGGGTTGAAGTTTGGGCTCCACCTCTGTACCGCAAGATAATGTCCCTATATCAACCAAGGTCCTTCGAATAAAAGCTTTTGAGGCAGTAATGGGTTTGATGCTCTGAAAGAAAAATAGTTGTTAAGAAGATCGTTGAGTTTGACTTGTGTGGATTTAAGGATCCACTCAAGCTTTTTCTCATGATTTTCAAAATCACACTTTTTCCCAGAACCGTTAAAACCACTATGTCTTTCCATAACATGCAAAGTTTTCTTAGACGATCATTAGGCATGTCTATCTTTGGCAAGCTGTTAAGAATTGTTTTTTTGCTTGTCTAATAGGTTTGGTGTCAACCTTTCTTCCTCTATTAACCATTCCTTCATAAGTTCCATAAAATCTTTATCAACCTTGTAGTTTACATTCCCTACCAGCTTCTCTTTATAAGAGATTTGTGATTTTACTGGTTCTTTTTTCACAGACTTCTCTTCTTTATTCCCTGTTATAACTTCTTCCTTCTCAGCATCTTTCATTTGGGTATCATTATTTTCTTCTTGGTGTTCCTTTATATCTACATCTCCTTCTCTTTTTCGGATGTTTCGAGCTATCACATCCTTATCCTGCTTAGATAATCCTTTTCTTCCACTATTGTCCAGCTTCTTGAAGTTGCCTATCAACGTTTCGTGCCCCATCGAACTCTCAGTCACTCTCTTGTACTCTCTCTCATCCCTCTGGTTTACTTCGCACAACTCTGTCTTTGTGTTTTAGAACGAAGACAACGAAACTTAGCCTAGATGATCTAAAATGCTTCTTATATGTACAAAATAACTTAAAAAAGTGTCAAAAGTTGGGGAAAATAATATGAATAACCGACAGTCATTAGGTCCATCATACCTCATAGTCATCAATCCATTATACTTAACCCGATTTAGACCTTAATTAATTAGTTTAATCCCTTAATTAATCTAATTAGTCCTAATTTAAATTTTAGTATCTTAAAATTTCTCTCCCACTTCTTTTTGTCTTGCTCATCTTTTCTCTCTCCTTTACTCTTGATATTACTCTTGATATTTGTTATATTTTTATAATACGTTATTACCACAACTTTGATTTGGAGATAAGATGCTCTTTAGAGTTTAGATCTATGTGCTTTTATATCTTACTCCCTTTAGTCCTTAATATGAGATACCTTTTAAAAGTTTTGTTGATCTTTATTATAAGACACCTTATACAACTTAATAAAGCATTAATGAGTTATTTCCAAAAATAATCACATATCTAAGTTCTTCATTTGAGTGACATATTTGACTTTAAAATTTAAAGGCAAAGTTAATAAGTTTAATTAAAGGTAATTTTGAATTTTTATAGGAATTTATGGGGGACAAAATCAAGACTCTTACCTAATTTTAACTACATTTCTTAATCCACTTGATTTAGTTAAAAATGTCTTTTAAATAGGACTATAGAAATTATATAATAATATTCCACCAATTGATATGAGTTGTTCTTGTCTAATCATCACGCAAAGTTTTGATTTTCTATTCATTTGCTACATATATTTTTTGTTGCTTTAATTTTTCCATTCTTCATGATATATTCTGCTCTCGCAAACTAACAAGTAGTATTTGTTTTCTTCATACTTACAATTTTTTGAAGTACAAACAATTTATTTAAAATTTTTAGTAAATGTGATATTCATGAGCTATCGGTTATATTATTTATTACTTTTGTTCATTTAAAGGTAATTTTTCAATTTTTTTAGTTGATTCCCATATATAAATCTCATAATATATTCATGTCACCAATTTTAGTTTCATTCAATTTTAATTGTTGTTGTGATATTTATTGACTTTTTACACTTGATTATTTGTTTATTCATATTGTGATAAATTTTGGTTTCTAATATTTATTTGGGCTACAGGGCAATTTCACCCCTTAAATTATAGGTTCCCCTTCAAATTTTAAAATAGTACAAGTTCATTTCTAATATTAATAAAAGTTAACTTTGAATATTAATTTATTAGAAAATTATAAAGAATGACTTTAAAATTGTTGAAAAAGGAAAAAAATTTGATGAGTTTTCAAATCATTAATATTTGTAGGAACGTTAGATAGCTTCAGGTTTGGGCTAGAATATTGGGCTAACCGGGTTGCAAGTAAAGGCTCAAGACATGAGTTACTGGTTGAGCCATCCGTTTAATGAGATCCTGACTTTCAATGATTTTAAATTATTTTATGTAATCCTCATTACTATTGTAATGAGTCATCGGGATTAGTAAAATTCTTATTGCTTTGACGATGTGACATGTATGGTATGTTATGATAATATTAAGATAGACATTACAATGGATAATTTGATGAAAAGCTAGTACAAGGCTAATCCTACTTCAGCATTGAATCTATCTTGTAAGGATCTATCATTATGTCGGCAGCTAATACAACATGAGCTAAAAACTGCACCTCCGTAAGCCAAAAGTCACACTTAGAAAGTTTAGTAAACAACTTATGCTCTTGTAAGGCTTGGAGTACAATTCTTAAGTGCTCCTTGTGTGCCTCCTTACTCTTTGAATAGATCAAGATGTTGTAGATGAACACTACCACGAACTTGTCTAGATATGGTTGAAAGATATAGTTCATATAATCCATGAACACTACTAGATCATTGATAAACCTAAATTTATAATGGCCATACCTCGTCTTAAATGTGGTCTTTGTAATATCCCTGGATTTCACTCTTAATTAATGGTAGCCTAATCTCAAGTCGATCTTAAAAAATACCTTTGCCCTAACTAATTGATCTAACAGATCATGGATTCTTAAGATAGAATATTTGTTCTTAATGGTGAGTCAATTTGATGTCATCAAGTCCAATGAAGCAATTAATTTTAAGAATTGTAAAATTCTAGGCATGGGTTGAGGACAGGGAAGGTTTGGGAAGGGAGAGGAAGAGAATTAGAGTGGGGGTTTAGGAGAATGGGGATATTTGGTTAATTTACACAAAATCTTATCAAAACCTCACAATCATTTATATATGTGATGGGACTTCTACGTAGTTAGAATGTTTAAGAGACTTTATAGTGATTTTTTCTACATTATTTATGAATTTTAAATCTTCTCACATTTAAGTCCTCATATGGAGAGTGAGATTTTTTTTAATACAAAAGCCACAATAAATCGTGCAAGAAACTAAATCCTAATCATATCTAAAGTTAAAAGACTTTTACAGTCATTCGATATTTTATTTAAAATAATAACATTAAAGTTCTTCAAATAAGATCTACAAGTTAAGAAATCAGTGTAATTATTTACTTCTCTAAATATTTGATTAAATGTGACTGTCTAATCTCTAATGGTGAGGATGGAGAGTGAGATTTAAATCTATGCTTTTCAAATAAGTTGTACTTTCAACAATTGAATAAATTTGCATCCCACCAATGGTAGAAGAGCAAAAATGTATCATATACATAGCATGGTTACAAAATTCCTTTATAATCTTTCTTTATATTTTCTCATTAATAATATTACCAATAATCAAATGAAGCATCACATTAAAGTCAACAGTTTAATTTATTGAAAAGTATAACAATACATTACATTTCATTTACTTAAAATACAAAACTTATTTTATAATCTATATGTTTTAAAAATAAAAAGAGTCCACATATATACACATTTATTTACAAGTTTTTATTTCTCAGTTTTTATTTTAGTTCAAATTCAAAAATAATGTTTTTTTTAATTTTCTTTTTTTTGATACATTTTGTTTTTAATTTTCTAAAATCATGGCTCACTTTTCACTTCATAGCTCATACTTTTAAAGTATATATCTTCTAGAAACAAATATCTGAAAATGGCTGCTATTTTTTCCTCATCATTCCTAGACACACCTCTTCCCTCGCCGTTGCGGTGACCCTTTCTTCCTCGTTTCTTCCGGGGTCGCCTCTCCCTCTGTGTTTTTTTCCCAAGAAGGAAACAAAATTGGAATCTGATTGTTATTACAGCAAGAAAAAAGCAGAGATTTCTCGCAATTCAATTCCTTTGTCAATTTTGTCTGGATTCAGACCACGATGTCGGAAATGGCGAACACAGATCCTGAAGGAGTCGATGGAGTCCGAATGACATGGAACGTATGGCCTCGCACCAAGGTCGAAGCTAGCAAATGCGTGATCCCACTTGCTGCCTCCATCGCCTTGATCCGTTCTCACCTTGATATCCCAAGGCTCCCTTATGCCCCTCTCCGATGCAAAACCTGCTCTTCCGTGCTCAACCCTTTCTCGCGCGTCGACTTCACTGCCAAGATCTGGATCTGTCCCTTTTGCTATCAGCGCAACCATTTTCCTCCTCACTATGGTATGATCTCGGAGACCAATCTGCCCGGGGAGCTCTACCCACAGTACACTACTGTTGAATACGCTCTTCCTCTCTCCACTAACCCTAATACGTTCGGGAACCAGACTCTCGATCCCAACCATCAATTGCAGCCGTCTCCGGTTTTTGTTTTTGTGCTTGATACGTGTATGATCGAGGAGGAGATGGAGTTCGCTAAATCCGCGCTCAGACAAGCGATTGAGTTGCTGCCTGACAATGCATTTGTGGGGTTCGTAACGTTTGGAACCCAGGTTCAAGTTCATGAATTGGGCTTTCCAGAGATGTCCAAGGTTTATGTTTTCCGTGGCAGTAAGGAGATTTCGAAGGAACAGATTTTGGAACAGCTAGGACTTGGTGCTTCCGGAAGGAGAACCGCCGGAATTTATCAAAAGGGGGTCCAAAGTGGACCCCCTAGTTCAGGTGTCTTGCGATTTTTGCTGCCTGCATCTGAATGTGAATACACTCTCAATTCGGTGGGTTTTGTTGCAATTTGTATATTTCCTATCGTTGCTTCTGGAATTGAGTTTTGACAAATGGGTTGCGACTGTTTTGGTTTCCAGCTATTGGATGAATTGCAAACAGATCAATGGCCTGTTCCACTGGGCGGTCGTTCGGCACGGTGCACTGGAGTGGCTTTAAGTGTTGCAGCAGGGTTGCTGGGTGCATGTACTGTTGGGACCGGGGCTAGAATCATAGCTTTGGTTGGCGGTCCATGCACAGAAGGACCTGGCACGGTAAAAATAGTCCTTGATTTTTGTCTGTTTCATTTGGCTGATATTATAATTTGTGTTTTATGTTACGGTCAATAAATTATTTATATAATGAATATTTTCAAGTTTTAGTGTAAGTATAATGTGGCAATGGGAAATTTTGAGTCAAATCAAATCATCGGGCTGTTGGTTGCTAAATTCTTTGGTAGAGCTGCACTACCATCGCCTGGGGTCTTCTTATATGTCCATAAAGGGATGCTTTTGAAGAAATTTTGCACTGCTTGATCTAATTTTTGTGGCATAACGCCATCATAGGATCTATGATTTGGTTAATTTGCAAGTCTCAATTCAATTTGTGCCAAACATAGCTACGAGAGACCAAAGCAGAGAAATCACGTCTTTTTCATTCTTCCTCTCAAGAATATGGTATAAAGGCATATCAAAGTCAAAATTTTTGGTTATATTCATGGGTACCAAAGAATACATCCAAATAAATTTTTATTTCATTCTGAAGTGACTAAATAATTCCTTTCAGATTGTGTCAAAAGATCTATCTGATCCAGTGCGTTCACATAAAGATCTTGATAAAGATGCAGCACCATACTTTAAAAAGGCCGTCAAATTTTATGACAGTCTTGCAAAACAGCTGGTTAGCCAGGGCCATGTCTTAGATCTTTTTGCATCAGCGCTTGATCAGGTTTGTTTCAGGATCTTATTTTCTCATGTTTCTAGAGTTGGTTAACTGGTTCTTGTCTCAATAATGGATGTTGACGAGTATTATTTTTGGCCAACATGTTTATCGTCCCTAGTCAGAGTGATTGATGACAGCTCAATCAACTGCTTATTGCATGTATAATAGCATAGGCACTAAAGCTATATTGGAAGATATTGTAAAATATGATCATCTTGTTTTCTGAGGGGAATTACATGCATACATTTATTTGTTGTTTTGATTGTGGTTGATTTTGATTAACATCCCCGAAGTGTTAGGAGTAAATATAGAATTCCTTAGAATGTTTGGGTAGCTACCTCTGCGTTTGGTGGTACCCATGCAAGTTCCAAGAAGTTCTTCAGTTATCTATAAATTTTTCATCCCCGATTTTCTAGGATGTTGGGAATGGTACTTCATTATGGTTTTGGATGGACCAGTGGATTAGAGATTCTTAAATTTTTGAAATTTCTCTTCAACCTTTTTAGTTACAAGCTCTTCACCATGCTTTGCTTTTTGACTCTTAAATTATGCAAAAGTACTGGTTTTTCCTGGAATATCATCACTCTTGACATCTTAAAGATAGGGTTGATGGTGACTTTTCTTTCTTTCCTTTTTGTGCGTGCCTCCCCCCCCCCCCCTTTTCTTGAAAAGGTAGAGCTATACACGATTGGGAAGCTGTTCTGGGCAAATATTTTTATCACTTGACCTCTGCCCATGCTCTGCATTTGCTGCTTATTAGTTGTTCCCCACTAAGAAGATATATATTAAATATAGTTAGTAATCTGCTGCTTACATCTTTTTCAGTTGAAGGGACCAAAATGGCATTTATTTTATTTGGTCAATTTTGTGTAGAATGTGTTCATATTGATGTTATGACTGTGAAGCTTGTTTTGTCTCCTAGATACTGCTCATGGCTTATCATTCTTGAATTCTGACAATGGGTTGCTTATGCAGTTGATACTTGCTTGAAATATTGTTGATATTGTGATCTGAATTTTCCACTTCAAGACATTAAGTGTCTTTATGTGCTGGTTCTACTTGTTCTGACTTTTGCGTGATTGGAATTTATAGGTTGGAGTTGCTGAGATGAAAGTTGCAGTTGAAAGAACAGGTGGCCTTGTTGTTCTTTCTGAAAGCTTTGGTCATTCAGTATTCAAGGACTCCTTTAAGCGTGTTTTTGAGGATGGGGAACAATCTCTTGGTCTCTGTTTTAAGTGGGTATTCTGTATCCTAGTGTCTTTTTTGGTCTGGTTGCTTCATTAATTGAATTCCAGTTCTCTAGGACGTTTGTCACTTGCTTTACCAGTAAAATTTCGAGAGAGATTAATCAATGCACACAACTTAGAAGTATAAATTCACTCTAAATAATCACATTTAATTTTATTGGAAACAAAACAATAAATTATATGAGAGCTCATGTAGTTCTTAAGCAATGTCTCTCTACCTTTATGCAACACATGCAACTCTGAGAAAAATAACATGAAAAGCCTTCTGTCTATTTCATATTATTACTACTGCAACTCAAGCAACTTCATACTAGTTGGAAAATCTTTGTTAGAATGGTAGGCACCCCAGCGGGATGAGAAACCATTCTTCAAAAGTTAGCTATTGAGAAGTGAGAACCACTATGCTTAAGAACCTCATTGAGCAACCCATGCTAGTCAAAATGAGTTTTAGATATTTTATGCTACTTTGGTCACCATCATAATATATGCTGAAGTGTATCTTTTATCTGTGCTGGTTGTGTAGGTAATTTCAATTTTACTAAAAACATGGTGCATTCTATGGAAAAAAGGATGAATATTGGAGAGAACAATGATAAGAACTCAGTTAGCTCCAACTATAAGGGGGGACTAGGCAAATGGTCCTATGGCCTAGTGGCGTGCAAGCTCCTTTGTAAATGGGAGGTCATGAGTTCGATTCCGCTTGTAACCTTAGGGCGTTAGTGCCTGCCCCTTTAATTCAAATAATAATAATAATAATAAGGGGGCAGAAAAGGCGATTCTCTTCAAATAAGGAGTTAAGAAAGAGAGAAAAACAAAATCATCAACTTTATACCTTATAAATGAATGCGAATGGTGGATCCACCTCTCCATCCACTGCTTCTCTCATGAAATCAGCTTTATACCTAATAACAAACTTGAGTTTGGTTTAAGGATTTATGTTTTTGCGATCTAGGTTTTAATAAGCTGTGTGAGAACACTAGTACTAATCTGGTTGGCCTTTATGTATTCACGAGGATTACTTTTGATTTTATCTTTCTACTGTTGTTGGGATACTGCAAATATCATTTCTATTTGGTTCATTCAATTTTTAGTTTTATTTTTCTTTGGCTGTATCTATCTACGTCTTCCTCATCAGCTGTCAGACATCCTCACTGACTTAATTTTGTTTCAGTGGAACCCTAGAGATAAATTGTTCCAAGGAAATAAGAATTCAGGGAATAATTGGACCTTGCACATCATTGGAAAAGGTTAGACCATTTAATGTTTCAAACCCTCACTTTCCTGTTCTTTAATGGTATTTTGATAATAGTTTTATTGAGTCTACAGAACTACGAACTTTTCTGGAGTTTTATGGTGCTTATCACTTACTGCAGAAAGGACCTTCTGTTGCTGACACTGTCATAGGAGAGGGGAACACAACAGCATGGAAGATGTGTGGCCTTGACAAGAGTACATGCCTGACAGTGTTGTTTGATCTTTCAGCAACTGATCGTTCAAGCACTTCAGGAGCTGTCAATCCTCAGTTGTACCTGCAGTTCCTGACAAGGTAAGCTTGGAGGGTGTACAGTGTCAGTTAATGTTAATTAAACATACAACTGCGTGCTGCTTTTGTCTTTCTCGGTAGGTATCAAATATCAATGGGTCACCTTTTTATTGCAGTTACCAGGGCCCAGATGGTCAATTAGTGCTTCGTGTTACAACTGTAACTAGAAGATGGGTAGATAGTGCTGTTAGCTCTGAGGTAGTTTGAGTTTCTTTTCAATTATGCCTGCATTTTAAGTAGCTCTGATGTAGTTTATCATGATTTTGAGAAGCTCCAATGACCATTTTTTCTGTCGCTGTCAATTTTGATTGTCAAATTTTGTTCATATGCTTGTATAAATTCCAGTCGTTTTTTTTTTGTTTCCTAAACAAAATCCTTTTGTTTTTTCTGTGTATATATAAGTGATGGAGCTGTAAGGCTTTACCTTTGTGAGAATGTTAGATTTGCCCCTACATTATTGGTCTTGACGTCATTGCTGTTTCTTATTTCTTTGATTTAAAAATAGTTGGCCTGTTTAGTCCCTTCAATCTATCTGCCCAATGTAATATTATACAATTCTGTTGAGATCTCACTCGTCCAATAGTTGGGAGGATTCTAAATATAGTGGGGATGCTTTGCTGGTATTTGACTAGAATTGTTTGTATACTGCATTTAGATGTCTAAAAGGCACGCATGTTATTGAAACCAAGTCCATGCAGCCATCATAGATGCTGTTGAGTGGAAAAATGATTTTGTGAATGAAATATGAGATTCATTCCTTTGCATTAAGAAACTGTAAATAAAGATAAGAAATGACTATAAGGATTTGACAAACATCTTATATCTCATCTTACTTGTAATATAAATAGATATGTCAATTAGGGTTGATAATTGAATTTCTTTTCAAGAGGGATATTGATAGTTAATGAAGTGGGAGGGGAAATCTCCCCAGTAACTATTGAGGTTTGTGGTGTGAGTATCTAATCACTTAAGTATTCCTTTGAGCATTCCTTGCTTTTAACGTGAGGCTTAAGCATCCCATATCATCTTGGTCTCTATGAATTGGCTTGCCTCTCAAAGAGCTGATGTCCCACGGCTACACTCTTAAGACATTTCACTTATTTTTCAAACGAATCAAAACTCTCCGTTGGTCAAATTCCTCCACAAGTAGCCCTTTCCAAGGCTGCTAACAATTAAGATTTGGAACCAATTGATTGCTACTTAAGCGAGATGGAGAACTTTCCCTCAAAAGCTAGCTATTGAGATGAGAATACCACAAATACTGCATTGAGCATTCCATATTACTTGATTTGTGACTAAAGCATCCCATACTACCTTTAGTCCCCGTCAGATGCCTAACAGGCTATTAGTTTATATTTCTCCAGATGGTCATTTGTATGCTGGTTCTGTCTCTTTTGCTGTTTCTTATCCAAAGAAAATACTATTGCTGGGTTTATATATTATATGCCTTTCATTGGTGGGAACTTGGTTATTGTAATATTTCTCCATCATCATTATTCGTACATGAATAATATGTTTGCTAAAGAAGAAAATATCTACTGCTCAGGAATTGGTACAAGGATTTGATCAAGAAACTGCTGCCGTGGTAATGGCGAGATTAGCTTCCTTGAAAATGGAGACAGAGGTACATCACAAGTTGTGCTGTCATATATATTGATTAATTTTATATTTCTAAATCTTCATTGTTGGGAATTATATTTTAAAGTTGCAATAAGTGTTATCTTTGTCTACAAACAGCTGATTGTTTAGAGTTTCGGTAAGATTAGGAGAAGTTGTTAGATTGCACTGATGTTTGTCAATTGTGCTTGTTGAACCTTTCACTGGTAGGACTATGTATTGTTGGAGTGACTTGGTAAATGTTATTTGTAGTGTCTTCTGAGACTACTAGTTTTGATTTGTCCTTTTAATTGTGCTTGCCAAGTTTTGATATTCAACAGTGACGTTTTCTTTGCAATGATAACTACCCTGTGTATTTGAGAGCAGCATATGTTTTTTAATATCATTTTGCTTGTAATGTGTTACAGATAACAATTTTCTCATGCCCTTGTTGGATATTTCATACTTATAACCAAGTTTGCTAGCTAAAAGCACCAATCTTATTTGATCAGGAAACGTTTGATGCCACACGCTGGTTAGATCGATACCTCATTCGTCTTTGTTCTAAATTTGGTGACTATCGCAAGGATGATCCATCCTCTTTTACATTGAATCCATCATTCTCATTGTTCCCTCAGTTTATGTTCAATTTAAGACGGTCACAATTTGTGCAGGTACTATGTCTTGATATTATTTTCTTGTCATACTTTTGAAACTAATCTAACTTGGGCATGTGAATGATGAAATTTGTTGGCAGGTTTTTAACAACAGTCCAGATGAGACTGCCTACTTTCGCATGTTGTTAAACAGGGAAAATATTAGTAATGCTGCTGTTATGATTCAACCATCTCTAATATCATATTCATTCAATTCATTACCTGCACCAGCACTGTTGGATGTGGCTTCCATTGCTGCTGACCGGATTCTGTTGTTAGATTCATATTTTAGTGTTGTCATTTTTCATGGGATGACAATAGCTCAATGGCGCAACATGGGATACCAGAAGCAACCTGAACACCAAGTATGTGTTTGAACCTGTACTGCTGGTGAAAATGATGTTCATATGCAAATTCTTCTTTAACTAATTAGATACTCGAACATAGTCTGTTAATTGGGATTATTAGTTACTTTGTGATGGAAGTTGGTGCTTAGGACAAAAGCTTTATTTTATGGTTTGTGCCCTGCTTGCACGTGGCACTATTTTCTTTTTTAATTCCTTTTTACCTAATATCTTTATTGTAAATCCCAGGCATTTGCACAACTACTGCAAGCTCCACGTGATGATGCTCAATTGATTATCAGAGATCGTTTCCCAGTCCCTAGATTGGTTGTATGTGATCAACATGGTTCCCAGGTTAGTATGCACCAAGATCAGTATAAGCATCAGTGCTCTTTACTGTTCATCAACAACTTGAAAGATGCTATGTGAAACATTGGGTAAAATTTTCAATATGTTCTACTCCCTCCATCTCAAATTATAAGATGTTTTTGAGGGAGATTCGGCGTTCTAAAATATATGACTGACAAAATAAGGTTTTATTAATGATGCTTTTCTAATATTATCCTTCTCTTATGTTTTGTCTTTTTAATATTCTATCACAAATGTAGTATTAAATAAAATGCATTTTTAGAAGTTTATATTTTTATATTGAAAAAGTAAAGTTGTAAAGTGTATTTCCTCTGGTCAATTTATTAGACAACTTTTAGAAATAATTTTTGATATAAAATATACGACATTTTGTAATAATTAAAACACTTTTTTCAATTTTAACCATTTTGATTAACGCGAAAGTATTTAATGTAGTTGTATTGTTATTTAAAGTTAGGGGTAAAAATGAAAGTACATTTCATTTTTTTATGATATCAAGAAGAAAATAACTTTTCTTAATATGCGTGAAACGGTTGAAGATGTCTTACAATAAGGATTGGAGAGAGTATTCTATAATTTGGGATGAAAGGAGTATTTGTTCATTCTTTTTGATAAAGTCTGGATTTTTCTTCATGGTCTTATTGGGGTGTCTTTGATGATGAGCAGGCTAGATTTTTATTAGCAAAGTTGAACCCCTCTGCAACTTACAATAACGCTCATGAGATGTCCGCTGGTTCAGATATAATCTTTACAGATGATGTGAGCCTTCAAGTCTTTTTTGAGCATCTTCAAAGGCTGGCTGTCCAATCTTAAGAGAAGATGATAGTATAGATTGACACTGTTTATAGGTTCTGGACTTCCATTAGCTAAATTCTCCAAGGTTATGTCATGCATTGTGCTGTTTCATTCAGTTATTTTCCTTTTCTTTCCTTTTGTTCTTAGAACAGAGGATTAGAGCCCATTCTGATTGAGGAATAGGGAAGAGAAATCTCAAACACAATTCTTGAGGGTTCTGGTTGAGGCTGTTCCCTGGAGATGATAAAGGGGTTCAAAAGTATGTCAGAGACTCGGGGTGATTTGGGAAGAAAGGGTAATGAAAATGTAAGTTGAGGTAATCTCTGCGTCAGCAGCAAAGTAGATGAGAGAGAGTTTTAGTTCCATTTTTTATCCCTTTTTTTTTTTAAATTAATTCCCAGATCTGAATTTTGGGTTCTTTATCTGGATTAATTTATATAGCTGTACTTAAATGCTGTCTGGGTTGCATAGTGAAATTATTTTAAGTCATTGTAAGAGTTTGGTATTAGTTCCTCTTGGGAAGTTTTGTATTTGTGGTTACGGTATTAAGTGCTTATTTTTTCCCCTTATGTGAAGGTTTCCTTCCATCTAGGCCATAGCATTATAAAATAGCAGTAAAGGTAAATGATTCAAGGACAACACTTACTCCTTCTATTAGAAAATATAAATATTTTTTTCAAGTTGATTTAGGCTTTGTATTTTTGTGTACGTGAATTTTTGACTTTTTCTCACTTGTAAATTAAAACTAGGAGTAAAAAATACACACACATTTTTATGGGGATAAATATTTTATTAGTAGGCGGATTATTATTAAAAATTGTTTTTATTTTAAACTGAAGAAAGTGTGTGCATAGCATTATTTATTTAAGATGTTTATTTTTAATTAAATTATGATGTGAGTTGAGCAGCACAATTTATTTTTTATTTTATTAAAAATTGTAGCATTGAAGGATAGAAATTCTTGATATTTTATTTAAATGAAAAATTTTTGTTTTTTCTTGAAATTTAAATGAAAAACTAATACAAAGCGTAGTTAGGGTTAAAAATAAAAATGAAAATAAATCCAAAGCACGTTTGGTAAAATGGAGAGTGGGGTGAGCGAATTCAGTGTGTATTTAATTTTTAATTTGTTAAAAGTTAATTTAATGAAAGTGTATTTAACATTTGGTAAAGTTAATTGTAATGAAATTTATATTTGAATATATATTTTAAAAAATTAGTTTGAGAAATTAAAAATTATTTAGATTAATAAAAATTTGTGCTTTTTTAATATGCAATTATAAAAAAAGACATTAATTTATGATAATTTATAATTTTTATTATATAATATAATATATAAAAATATTTAAAAAATGTTAAACAAATTTAAAATAACATAAAATTTAAAATGTTAAATAATAAGAATAAATAATATAAAATTTAATATTGAAAAAATTATGTAATGAATAGTTAAACATTTATTAATATTGAATAGTTATAAAATTAATAGTTCGATTTAGAATATACAATATGATCTTTAATAAAATTTCAAACCTTATTCATCTCTTTATTAGAAGCTATGCTTGAAATTGCACTTGAAATTATTGATGAAAATGCATGCTTGTCATTATTATCGTTAGTGTTAATTATATTTTTATCCTCAAAATGCTTAAAGTTAGAATCAGTTACAGATTTTCTTCTAATGAAATTATATATAGCTACTGTTGCACCAACCATATGAACTTGCTTCATAAATGGATAGCTAGGCATGTGTCGTAAGATTGTGAATTTATTTTTTCAAACCCTGAAAGTCCTTTCAATCGTGATCCTTAAACTTGAATGATAATAATTGAAAACCTTATTATTGTTTGCAAATCCGGATGAACACCTAAAATCTGGGAGGTGATACTTATAGATTTATAAGGACTTAAGTATTCATGTGGTGTTGGATAGCCGGTACCTAACAAATAATATTTACCTACTAATGAAAAGATAGAAATTGTAAGATCCCAAAAAATATTAAAAAATTATTTTAAATTAGATAAATATGAAATATACCTTGGGGTGGATGTGAAAATTTCATGTCTGGTCTTGTGAGTGCATAGTCAAACAAATGAGCATCATGGGTAGTCTCTTTCCATCCAGCCATGATATAAGTGAAACACATATCCCAATCACATGCGGCTATTATATTTGTGTTGGAATACCTTTTCTTCCAATATATTTTCCTTTCCTCTTCAATACTGGCCATACATGAGATATGTGCTCTATCAATTGCTCTTATGGCATTTTTAAAGAATGGCCAATATTGTGGATCACTTAAAATTTTTAGATGAATATCTTGAAAAGTACAATCTTTTGGTTAGATATATTCCTTTGCTAGCTTCTCACAAGCATGCAATACATTTTTAAAATGTTTGTTAATAGTTTCTACTGAATGTTGAAATCGTTCTTGTACCATTCTGTTCCCTACCCCATGTCCAACAATATTTATGAACACACTAACCATTTTATGAATCCTTGTTTTTCTAGTTGGACGTAGACCATGTTGCACTAATTCATCACAAAGTTGAAGAAAACATCTTTTTCCATACGTAACATGTCATAACAATGCTGAGGATGTCCTTACAAAATTTCTTGCACTCATACATGACCTGATTGTGAATTGGTTCTACAAGGCTCTTCCAATAAAGTTGTTGAGTAATTATATACTATTGCAGTAATAGCCTCAACCTCATTGTCTTCTACATGTATAAGTAATTGTAATAAGCAAGACTGCGTACTTTCATCCATAAAAATTGCATAACATAATTTAATTGCCATTACACCCTTGTTCATAACTAACATAAAAAAAAAACACATAAAACAAGAGTCAAATAACACAGTCAGTTTTAAAATGAAGTTAGCAACATGAACGGCACTAGCTCTTTAAAACATTGAGAAGGCAAGCTAGGATTGATTTAATTTTCTTTTTTACCTAAGCATTTCAAATAGGCCACTAATGCTCTTCTATTGTCCCTAAGCCCAATATACATGTCCCTTGCAGTCTTATCTAGCGAGGCCACAGCATACTATTCAAGAAACACCTCATCACAAGCAATTTCCTCAATTCTATAAAGTTCCTTTGCAGTATACACCACATTTTGTTCAATTGGTATTGTTCTACCCTCTATGTTATTAACAATTGACTTCAATGTTAAAACCCTATCCTCTTGTGTAGACACTAAATGATTTACTGAATCAACCATCATAGTTTCAAGACGTTTTCCCTTCTTGTTTTGACACTTTCACCTCTCTTTCGCTTTCTCCCTGAATTAGTACCACTACTGTATGCATTATTCAAGTTAACCTGTCTAATTTTTGGGAGAGCTCCTCTACTAATGTTTCTTACATCATCATTGTCTCCTCCAATTTCTGGGAGAGTTCCTCCACTAATAAAACCGTGAGCCATAAATTATTTAGATTGAATTTCTTCATTGAAAATATTCACTAAAACTGAATTGTGAATCCTTATAGATTAGTAAATGACTAGAATAGGACTTCATAAAGGGTGGACACAAAAAAATAAAAAGAAAAGAACTTGAAACCAAAAATCAATAGAAAAATCATGAAATCGTAGTCATCAATCACGATCGATCTCATTCATCCCATTACATGTTCTTGTTCTGCATAGAAGATGGCAATCAAAAGAAGGCAATAAAAAAAAACTCAAAACAGTCACCACTGAACAAAAGAATAGATCAAAGGGCAGAACAAAGGACCACATTATGCTTCATTTTCATCTATTAATGCAAAATAGAGGACCACCATTTCCAGATTTAACAAAAAATGCTTGGAGGCTATTATACCTTGTAGATCGAAGAGTAGATTGAAGAAGAGGGTTGAGGTTTGACAAGCTGGTTTGAAGCTTTAATTTTGCACTCGACAGGTTGCAAATCTAGGTGTCTTGAGTTCTCTCAGCTTTAAATTGTTGTCCAAGTCCCAAAACGAGCTCGATTCGTGAAAGATTCAAGGTGGAAATGAAGAAATCAAATAGTGGAATGGCAGCAACCAACGACGAAGGAAGAGATGAGGAGCTCAGGGAAGGAAAAGAAGAGGAGCTCGGGATCTGTGACTAGATGGCGGAGGAGAGAAGGAAAAGAGATGGTCGAGTGACAGAGGAGCAACGAACACGCAAGATGAGAGGAGCAGCAAAATGATAGAGATCCGGCCTCGATTGCATGAGAAGAAGGAAAAAACATGAGGGTATCATGGTTAATTAAAATATTAGGTACAAACCATAAATGCTCACATGTCACATATCATGTTTCAAAAGCTACACAAAGGAGCTTTTGATTTTTCTTATTTCAGACCCATTTGAAAGTCCTTTTTCAAAGTACATTCTATCTGGAAAAAACATCACAAACAACATTCTACATTTCAAAAGTTAAAAATCACATTTAGAATGTAAAAGCAACTGTACCCAAATGCACCCTCAATCTATTACTTTGCCTTTTGAATATCTAAATGAATAATAAATAAATAAATTGTAATGATTATGTACTCTAACTTGTAAACAGTATGTATTATAATGTTTTGCAATTATATGTTTTCATAACTAGGAACCTCTCATTTCCATGTCAAGCAGTTTTACTGTATTCAAATTTTGTAAAAATTAATCTACAGGTTTTAGTTACTCAATTTTAAATTATATTTTTATAATTTATTTTATTTTAATTGAGTTCTTATAATTTGAGTTGTTAAATTTATTAATCCTTAAATTTTTCTTTAAAAAAATTAAGAAGTTTTATGTTTTATTAAAATATTTTATAATTTTAAATTAATTATATAATTTTTATAACTCAAAATTTATATAATTAGATTATGACTTTTAAATAACTTTATACATGTAGAATTTTCATGAAATGTTGCCAAAAACAAGAATTCCCATAAAAAATTTGATAAAAATGTAAACATTGTATTAAATGAAATTATACTTAATTTTTGCCCAAAGTATTAAATAATTTTTTATAAATTTTAAAATTATTTTTTAATAATTTTAACATTTATAATATGTTTGATTCAATTCCAACCTTAATATTATAACGAGGATTGCATTATCATTATCATTATCATTGGGAGCTCTTCTTGGTTATTTTTTTGCAGGCCCATGTGATCGTTATTATCAAAACAACATCAATGCTCTTTCACACCTCTCCCATAAATCTTCATCTCACCTCATTACTTTGTTTTCATTCCAAAATTACCCCCCGGGAATCCTTGGGCTTACACTCCCACCACCACAACTTCGCTGCACTTTAAAAAAAAAAAATGAACAATTCATATTTAATATTTTAATTTTAATTTTTATCACTAATTGAATAGTTCAAATTCATATAAATGGCTCAAATTTAATGTTAAAATTTTTATAATTTTAATAAATTGACTATCTTGATATACTCCAGACCCTGTAGAATTAATATTAATTTTTTAATATTAAATTATGATTATCCATATTAAATCTAAACTAACGGACGATCAGATTTATTAATTTTTTTGTAAATTTGAATTATTCATAATAAATCTAAACTATCTAGACTGATTATTAGATTTTATAAATATGGACATCCATATTAAACCTAAACCGTTCAGACGAGTTTATTAGATTTACTAAATATTTTCATAAATATGAAATAAAACAAAAATTAACACATCAAATCTAGACCGTTAATATTTTTCTCAAAATGCTAGAGATTGGGGTGTAAGCGGATCAAAGCCTAGTCCTTCTTCGCCACTCCTTCAAATACATTGACGGTAGCCTTCTTATTCTACTTCTTCAAGCTCACCAGTAATGGCATTCTTCTCCATTTAAAATTACCTTTTTCTTACTATTCTCCATTTTTAGATCTATTTGATTATGTCGAACAAGAAAGATGGGAAGGGAAGTTTACTTTTGTTCTTTTGGCGACCAATGGCGTCGTATATATAATACATGCAATCTAAGATAAAGCTTGTTGTTGGTGGTGATGGTAGTGGTGACCAAGTCTAAAACAGTTATTTGATAATCTCTATGGAGTATTGACAACTAGTACATACCAAACAAGCATTTAGTAATTAATTAATATTAAACTGCATTGTATTATATTGCATTGCTATTAGGTTTGTAATTGAACCAAGTGGATTTTTAGAGATTAACATATAAGGGTTCGATTAAAACAAAATAATTACTCTTTATAATTGGAAAAAACCAACTTCAAATTAATTTTCCCTGAAATTTTTATTACATTTTTAAATTTCTTTTGGGTTAAAAAATTATATATAATAAATAATTAAAACCCTGTAAGTTAAAATTAAATAAACTATTGGTTAGAATATAAACTTAATTCACAACTCTTATTTGGTTTCCTTTTAAAAAAAATAGACAAAATTGCATATGCTTGATCTTATACTGCTTAATTTTATGTAAATGAAAAGATATTAAAATATGATTATGAGTTGTAAAAACTGACATCAACTTATTGATTTAATTCAATGAACCTAAGATCATAAATGATTATGACATTTTTTTTCCCCATCGCTCTTTATTACTTTTATTTAGAAAATAGCATTTTTATTGTCGTAACTGGACCATTGCCTAAAGTCATTAATTAGGTTTAATCATATTTATTTTTTTTATCATAAGCAATGAAATTAACTCCTTATAATAGAGCACAAAGAACTCGAAAGAAATATGAGCTATTTAAAATGTTGACCCAAGGGCTTAAAGATAACAAAGTGATCAACCCACATCAACCAATTAAACCAAGCGCCCTTCGATAGTGATCAATATTTTATCTACTTCAATTATGAATTCAAAATGGTTCCAACATGATCAACTTAAACAAGAGCGAGGCCAATTCATTACTATTAAAATAATTGATTTTATTTCACTCAAAGGAAAATAATACACATTTTTTCCCCAACTATTGATATCAAAATGGTATATCTCCCAACTGTGTATGCTCAACAAATCCCCAGTCATTTGATATAGCAATGAGATCCCTTATCATTTACATCAACCTTAGCAGGTAGAATATTGATAAATTTATTTCACTTCTTGAGAAAAGAATAAATATTAAATTGAAAAAATATTGACAAAAGAATCAGTAAAGCACAACAAATATATTTTACGTAGATGACTTAGAAGCGTGAACGTTTGCATTCAGGTGGAAGGCCTTGAGGGAATCGGTTGAGATCAGTGCAATAGTTATAGATCATGAAGTACTTCTGAGCCCATCTCAGTCTTCTTCTACCATTAGCATCAAGCTCATTCTTGCTTTGCACTTTAGAGCCAGAGAATGATGAGTCTGATGAAGAAGACGAAGACATCTTGAAGTTGCGATAATAAGCCGTGAAAGGAGCCTTAGACCAATCTGTTTTAACCAAACCACCTCTTGTTGCCCAGTCATCAGCATTCCAAAGGCTCGAATGCATTCTCATGGCCTGGTTCTTAGGGAAGGGAACACCTTCAGCTTCCTCATTCTTGAAAACCCTAATGGGAATGTCATCTACCAAGAATCTGCAGTGTAGCCAAATGATAGAATTGGTCAATATTACAGATGAAACACAAGTTAATTAGGGCTTTTCTGTTTCAATTTTTCCCCCTGCAACTTACATAATGTGTTGTGGCTTCCAGATGATGGAGTATTTGTGAAAGTTTCTGGTAGGGTCAAACCAGAGATAGAACTGTTGCTCTCTGTTGCCTTTGCCTTGAGAGAAGACATTGGTGTGAAGAATGTAAGGATCCCCACTAACATTTCCCAAGAACTCAAAGTCAATCTCATCATGATTTGGTCCTTGTGAAGACAACTACACAAAAATATCAGGTAAGTGCCCACACACATAGGAACAAAGTCAGGATTTAGCAATAAAGAAGATCGAGATTAAAAAACATGTACTAAAATACTTTCATAAATCTTGAGAAGCCAGAAGCATGCAAAATCTATATAATATTAAAAAATGCACACGCACCTATATATACACGTATAAAGACATGATTTAATTTCAGCAGAAAGAGTTATAACTATGAGAACATACGTAGAAAGTGGTGACAGTGCCAGCAGAATTGCCAGCAACAAGCTTGATGTCCATATCGATCCTCCCAAAAAGGAACTGTTTCTTGGATTGGAAGCCAGAGCCAGAGAAGTGATCCAGAGAAAGAGACAGAAGCTGACCTCCATTGAATATCTTCCCACGATCACCACCCCATGTTATTTCAGTGTCTTGGAAGAAGTTTGCAGCACATGAAGCCACCATAGAACCCATCACTATCCCAATCACCACAGCCACGTAAAACCCTTTACCAGTAGTACAAGCCATCTTCATCAGATAGAGAGAGAGAGAGTGTTTGAATAGATGATGTGTAAGAGATTAGACATGCAATAAGTATATATAGCTATAGGAAAGGAATAAGGAAGACGCGTTTGAAAGCTGGAGCCAGCTTTAGCAAGCTATGAAAGCTGGAGGCTATATTGCTTTTGATTCAATTATGACTTTCTTTTTGAGTTCTTGCAGGTCCGTGAAAAATGATTATTATACATAAAATATTCGAATGTTGACCCTATTGAAGTGTGATTTGGAACAGATCTAAAATATAATAGAAAATAAATTAGACTTACGCGGTGCAGATGGTGCAAATGCCAACTGGGTATGGTATTGTGCGTGGAAAGAATAATAATGCCATAAAGCTGTGTATTTCTAGGTACGGCAGACAATCTAGAAATTTATTTTATCTATATCTATTTTTTTAAAAAAAATTATTCGTGTATATAAATATAAATATATATCAATGATAGACTAACTTTTCGTCCTTGGAAGATTTTCAATTCACATCCCCAAGTAAGGTCTCAAATCTGAATTTTCAATTTCGGTCACTTCTTTCAAAACATTCTGCAAACAAAGCAACCAACAATGTTAATTTATAAAAGGAAAAATATATCCACAAGTCTCTATAGTTTCCTTAATTTTAAATTTATCCACAAGTCTCTATAAAAGGAAAATAAATTTGTTAATTCTTGAATTTTTTTCTTTTAATAAAAACTATTATATTTTTATTAACAGATTATAAAACTTTAAAATTAATTAATTATATAAACTCACAAGAGTTGAGTCTAACAAAAGGGCTAGTTCCTTACAACTTGATGAATTAAAGTTTAAATTCTCGCTAGAAGAGATGTCTACATTTATTACCTGATCATGCCTTGACCCTTGAATTGGATTACACTAGTACTTAATAAATAAAAAATAATTAATTGCATAATTTTTATAACTCAAAATTTATATAATTAAGATGTCTTCTAAATAATTTTTACACATACAATTTTTATAAAAAAGTAATGAAAATGTAAACATTGTATTAAATCAAATTTTCAATAAACTTTAAAAGTGTTTTTATTTTGAAAAATTAATCATTAAAAAATTTAAATTTTTCGAATTAACATATTTAATAAATCAAATTATGAAAATTTGATTAAAATAAAAAGTTAGAAGGATCTAATTTAGAATTGAAGAAAATTTTAAGAACTTGCGATAATATTTTTCATAAAATTCATTTTTTCTGTTATTTGGAGTCAATTACATACATACTTTTTTTATCCGTGTTACAAGCGGTACCCATAACTACCTTAATGGAAGTAAGTAGCAGTCTAGTCATTAATATTTTTTTAAAAATAGAATGAACTTTCAATCTTGTCCTTGTTTAAATGAAAAAAAAAAAAGTTAAATTTACATTACATTCTCTTTCATAATTAATGAGTTTAAATATAAATAATATTAAAAAAATAATTAATATCTCATCAAATGACTTATATTAAAAGAAAATTCTTCCATAAGATGCCTGTAATAGGGGCCAAAGTAGTGTTTGTTTAGCTTGAAATTTGAATATGCTACACCCCTTTCAGTATATAAGTAGTTTTTGGGAAAAAATTTGCACGTTAATAAAATTCTCATTTCCATAAAAATATATATTATTTTTTCTTTTTACTTGTAGCTCCAATTATTAATGCATTTTATTATGAGTGAAGGATACATTTACAGAAATATTTAGATTAATAAATATAAGGGATATAATGAAAAAAAAATTATATGTACTAATTTGTTTATATTTTGAACAAAATTAGTTGAAAAAATATTTATATTTTGAATCAAAGGAAGTACATCTCACGGTCCTAGACTCTTCAAGTGAACAAAAGTAGGACCAGAAACACCTGGGAGATAACTAGTGACTCTCTCGGATATATTTGCTTTCAGTGTTACAGCCTTACAGGTACACCTTGGCATAAACATATAGTGGCTTTCGAATTTTGTCATGCTGCTTCGAAATGTGACAATCAAAGTTCACACAAGCTGGCCTTCACTCTATTAACTCATGTTCTTAGCATACATGTAGAGCATATAGAGCTTCGTAAGAGATAAATCACATTCCAGGAATTGTAGCTTCAACAGAACATCTTCTCATTGAATCATTAACAATTTCTTCATGTTTCCCTCCGGCATATGTTTGAGGAATATAGCATTTAAGAGTCATGAGTGTTTCAGTACATATTCTATATCTTATATTATATCTTGCAGCAAAATGTTTCAAGAGAATCCAACTGTTCACCTCAATGTTTTCTCTCTGAACAGAAACCAGCTTTCAACTTAATAGACCTTGTACTCTCTTCTATGATCTTTCCCAATTTCATCCTTGTTCTGCAACTTTTTTGCATCCCAAATTCTATAATCTCCAGCTCGAAAATTTCCCATGTTCATTTCTCCATTCTTGTGAAATTAGATTATGATGAGTGGATTAAGAATCTATAATAATAGAGATTTATGAATTTTAATTTCCTTCACTTTAGGGTTGCAATACTGGAGAAACTTTGTCAAGTCAAAGAAGCAACAATTGGTATGTCTAGATCAGTGATTAAAAAACCGAACTGAATGGGACAGTTCGACAAATTCGACCATTGACCAGTTTGGATTTCAGCTCAATTAGTATATAAAAATTGTTTTGGAGTTGAGCTAAGTTGGGCCATTTTGGCCTGGCAGTCAAATCGAAAACTAGGATCAAGCTGAGAATCGAATTAGGTTTTCAAAAGCCAAATTGTTCAAGAAATTCTTTTGTTTATTTTTAATCAATTTTTTTTTAAAAAAGTGACTAATTTTTTTAATCATTTGATGTTATGTTATAAAGTTTGGCTTATTAAGTCATGATAAACTTAAAATATTTAATTTTATTTTTAAATTAAATAATAATTTCATATTTATTTCTTATATTTAGATTATTATATATATGTAATTTTTTTAATTTAATTATCACGTCATTGATTTGACCAAATTGAACCATACGAACCATAAACTGTTAACCTTTCCGATTTAATATTTGGTCTAATTCTAAAAACATTGGTCTAGATATAAATTAGGAAAAATACCAGAATTGAAATTCAAATTCCCTTCCTCTCTATCCTCCTCAATCCAAACATACTCTTTAAATAGCCAAAGGCTTCACCAGAGAAGCGTGTATATCATTCTTTTTAAAAGTAGTTACATATTTTACTAAAAAAAAAAAAGTTCTTTTTACTTTTCACATCATGAATTTAAATAAAATTAAATATGGAACGAAGTTTACAAAGGTTTTGTACATATCGTCTCAATTTTCTTCAATTTCTGATGACAAGATACAATACCATGCAGAACATGTAACGGAGGACTAGAACAACAACAAATCAGAACATGAAAACCAAAATAAATCGCACTGAGAAAGTTGCCAATTTATCTTGAAAATCCTACTGACTGGTTTTGCTGGTTAAGCCAATTTAAACGAAGTTTTTCGATGCATAAAATTTTATAGATTATATAAGAAAACCAACTACAGAAGTTACCAACAGAGAATGAAAAGAAAGATGAACGTGTAACTCTACAGTAATCATATAATAAGCTTAATGTAAACGTCTATCACCAGATTCCAAGAACAATAGCTTCATTCACCATTTGGTAGGTAAAAAAGTGCTTTCTGGAAGAAGAAAAAAAGGGAGATGCACCTATCATATTTTCTTTCTAGATACATTTCCCTTTTCCATTCTAGAAAACACATTTCCCTATGCCAATAGCACACTTACTAGCGTATAGTTTCTGGAACCATCAACAACGGAGGTGGATTTTCTCCTCTGGAACGGAGAGTAGAGTAGAGATCGGCGCAAATTTAGACTGTTAAATTGAATTTAAAAATTTAAATTTGATAACTTTAAAAAATATAAATTTAATTTAAACAGTTCAGATTTATAGTGGAGAGATAGTGAAAAATAAAAGTAAAGGAGAGAAACTTACCCAATCAACAACCTCTTTGACACTATTCTCCTTCCATAACCTAACGATACCAAAGAAAAGAGAAATTTTTTGAAATGTGACAATCAAAGTGTAGTCAAGTTGGCCTTTACTCTATTCTTATATATATAGAAGTATAGAAGATAGAGAGTACAGAAGTAAATCTAGCAAGTAGAGAACGTATCTCAGCTTGTAAAGGTTGCAACATCCAAGGTACTGATCTACTCCCTACGGTTCTAACTATAGGACAAAGTTTATACCTCTATTTAATCCAAAATATAAAATAAAGATGTAGTTAACTTTTTTTTTAATTATTATCACCCCTCTTTAATTGCACCAAGCATAAATTTTAGTGAAGAACAAAATTAAAAAGTCGAACATTTTTTTTTATACAAATTTAAGGATATTAACGACCATTCTTTAAAAAGCTTGAAGTTGGTTAACCTTATTCTATAATTAGGATTAGAGGGAATACTATCTAAATCCATCTATGTAAGGTAAGTGAGACACTTTAAATAACCATAAACCTAGCAGTAAACTAAGGCCCCATTTGGTAGTTTGGAATCATGGAGAAAGAAATGGAATTGGACATGGAATCTGTTAACATGTGTGTTTGGTATGCAATAATTATGATTCTTTGGAATCAGGATTCAAGAAAATTTGATGGAATCCAATTCCATCATATGCATCAAGGAATCCAATTCCATGGTTCCTTTTCTCCAATTTGCCCCTTCTCTCTCCTCCAATATAATTTTTTTTAATTTTAAAAAGGACACTTTAGTCTTTTCTTATTTTAAATACTTATATTTTATTAAAATTATATCAGGATTTCATCATTATACCAAACACACTTTTAAATCCAATTCTATTCCAATTCCAATTCCGATTCCGATTCCGATTCCGATTCCATTAAAAACTCTTCCATCATACCAAACATAGCCTAAATATATTACAGATCATCAGATGAGATTCAACAAAAACAAGCGCCAACCTGAGCGCTTGCAGTAGCAATTGAAGGCCTCCTACTCTTGTGTCTGGTTTGTAATGCCATGTCGATGCGTGCAATTGAAAGCCTTTACTCTGTTCTTCCATGCTAAATGCAGGTGTGTTGAGTATATTGAGCTTCATTAGCACTCTATTCATGAGAAAGTTGAAAAGAGAGGAATTGTTCAAGAATTTGTAGCTTGAGGAATTGTTCAAGAATTTGTAGCTTCAACAGTGCATCTTCAAAGTATTTTCCAACACAGTTGACGTTAAACCTTTTCTGTGAACAGTATCGAGCCACGTTGAGTAGAAAGGGTTGGAAAAGTTACAAGTGAAGTATATAAAATTTATGACTTTGCATCGCCTACTTTTGATATTTTACATCCTTTGAATTAAATGAAAAATATTTAAACTCAAAAACTTATTAAACATATAATATTTTAATAATTTAAATAAGATATGAAAAACATATTTACAATATAAAAGAACATATTAATCTATTCAATATATTTTTTTAAATAAAAAATAATAATAAAACTATTTATATTATTAAAATTTAGTTCTAGCATAACCATTACTTTGTAAGAAAATTATTTTTTTATTAAATTATTTCGCACCCTTGACTTAAAGTCCTGACTCCACCAATGTCTATGAAGAACCTTAACAAAATTTTTATCATTATTAACAATCTTCATAACAGTCTCCACAGAAGGCACCTATGTTTAGTTCAAACTAAAAGTCAAAATAATCACCTGAAGTAGCCAGCATGAAACCTATCATCAACAAGATAAACTTCATGCCACTAAGCCACAAGTTTATTGCCCAAACAAAATAATTACTCAATCAAAACTATAATTTACACAATCTACAGCTTACTTTCCAACTCCTTTCTCACAACTATAACATAGACAATACATATTTGACTTTCTCAACTCCTTTCTCATATGCTCTCTCACACCCTACCATACTCTCATTTCTCTCTTTGAACGCTTCTTTGCCCTATTTGCTTCATTCACCACACCACACATACGACTACATCATGCTTACTTGGAGAGGACAGGATCAAGGAAATTTGGAGATAATCTCATGGCTACTTGTTTTAGTGCTACTGGCTGAAATATTGCCATGCTATGTTGAAATGTGACAATTAAAGTGCACTCAAGTTGTCATTCCCTATTCTGTTTCAAGCCAAATTCAGACATGTTGAGCATATAGAGCTTCATTATCACTTTATTTGAGAGAAAGATGAAAAAGAGAGAGACTTTTCCAAAATTTGTAGCTTCAACAGAGGATTTTCAAAATTAAATCATGACCAATTTGTCTACGTTCCCCTCAAGCATGTACGGCTGAGGAAGAGCATTAAAGTTAAGAATATAAAAGTCAAATATAGAGTTAAAAGTGTTAAAATCTAAATTAATAAGAATATCAGCATGAAAATTTTAATTACTTTCCTCTCTGCTCTCCACAATCAAAAAATATTCTGAAGTGTCCAAAGATCCAAGCAGACAAGCTTGTGAAACAGAACTACTTGATTATTATGTAGAAGCATCTTCGTGACAATGACCCTTGTATGCCTCCAATAAAGCCTTTTCATTATCTCTAAACTCCGAAATGTACTTCTCCACGAATTTATCCTCCCGAAATTTAAGCACTGCAAGAAAATTCGGAATCATACCAGGTAGTAATTTTTTTGAGATTAGCAGTTGGAGTACCCTCCATCGAGGAATCACCCTTTTCTCCATGCTCAACATCAAAATCACAGGGTTCTTAACCAGTAGTGACCTAGGCACCATAATTTTATCCAAGTACACATCAATTCCAAATTTTAGCCTCTTCTCAGATTGGTGAAGCAATGCGGGAGCTCTTCTGAAGATTCGCATGGTCTCATCTTTGGAAAACCCGCAACTCTGAATTAACTCCAACTTCCTGTCAAACTTAACAATGCTCAAACTATAAATTACCCGAAGCGCATATACCAACATTCTTGAGTTTATGGAGAAACCCATGTTGACAGCCCGTGAAACATAGTTTTGAAGCAGAGACTCTTGTTGAACAAAAAGGCGACCTTGAGTTGTAAGTAAAAAGGAAAGCTGAGACCCAACGATCCCACAACTCTGTAAGAAAGCAGCATTGCGCAAAACCTTTTGGTGGTTCGGGATTATCCAATTCCCATTTCTGTGAAGCAACTTAATCAAATCTTTCTCTTTATTAACAATTTTCCTGAAAGCTTCCACAGATGGCACCAACGTTTTATTCAAACTACGCGTCAAAAGAGTTGCATTCTTTGATAGAAGCTTACCCAACTCAGAACACTGAAACCCTAGAAGCTGAAGATACTCAATTTTCGGTTTCAGGTTCTCATCGACACGGGAGAACAATATTGGGGGTTGAAGACCAATCATAGACTGAATCTGCGATTCAGAAAGGCCAATCTGTTTAAAATAATGAAGCACTGTCCATGGATGCTGAGGGCACCTAGCCTGAAAAAGTCGTTTCGAGATGTAGACGGATTGAGCTTTGGAGAGTCTGACGTTGGTGTTGAGGTAATCAATGATGGAAATGTGTTCGGCTGAGGCTTCAGTTGGGGAAGAAACAACAGTGGAGAACAGAGAAAGAAAGGATCTGGACCAATTCCTCAGATTATAACAATGAGTGGAGTTTAATTTGAGAAAATGCACTTCTACACAGCGATGCAAACTCATTCTCGTGAAATGCCCTATTTCAGTGTTTCGGCTACCTCATGAGTTAGAATTAGGAAATAGGAACAAATGGCGAAAAGGAAGAGAAGGTCAGTACCCTAATTCAAGCTTTGAACATACCTGAAAGTGAAAGAGATGAGGACTTGAAGGTTCAATGGAAGGAAGATTATTTCAACTCGTGTCACAGTGAGACGAGCCTTCGACTTCGAAGTTCTAACGTTCTGAATTCTGCTTTGGAGGTGGAGGGGCTAACTCATTGGGAGAATGACAAGGTAGGACCTCGTTAAGAAGTTAATACTGAATTGAAAACTTTACCACTGAAACATTAAAATATATATATATATATATATATATTAAATTTGAAATGTTTATGTTAAAAGAAATCCTAATTTGATTTTATTCTAGAGTCTTTACTTGTCATTCCCTCTAATTTTATTTGGATGACTTAATTTTAAATTAAATTTAAAACATTCTATCATATGAAAAACTCCATATGGTTAAACCCAATCATAATTCCGTAGGCTTTAGCACTTACTCAAACTGTCTCAAACATTTAAATTATTAAATATTATACTTTTTTATTTTTATCTAATTTTAATTTTAATTTTAATTTAAAAAAATTAATATTTTTAATTTTTATATTATTTTAATAATAAAAAAAGGAATTTAAAAATTTAGGTTAAGTTCATTTGGACTTCAATTTGACCTGAATTTTTTGAATTTATTCAAGCTACTTGAATAAATTCAAAATAAAAAAAATTAAAACTCTTAAACTCAATTCTAAAATTTTCAGCTTATTCTGCAAATGAAATTTAATTCAAATTATTGGCTCTACTTGGAGTGAACAATAAATAGAGATGGCAATGCAATTGCCAACAGATCTTTTCAATTTTCATAGCACCGTATGTAGGCAAGTGTTGTTGGGGCATCCATTAAAAAAAGAATTTGATTAAAGTCAAGTTTGGTTATTAGAATAGAATGAAATGGAATAAAATTAATTAAAAAAATCAATATAAAAATAAACTAAATCATCCTTCCTTCTCATAATAAGCATGATTAAACTCATTAATATATACTACAAATGTAAAAATTATCAGAACCTTCAAAATTTCATAAATCATAATTTCTAACTCTATGAATTAAATTACTTCTTCTTTATGAATGTATTTTACTATTTTTTCTATTATCTTATTTTTATTTTTATTTTTTTCAATCCATTATATTATATTTCTTTTTAGTAACCAAACAAAAACTATTACTCTCTGAAAGAAAAGAGATATTAAACCGAATTACCCTTGTTCGAACAAAAACTTGTGCAATCATAACACTGAAAAGACCCAAACAAATCTCCAGAAAAGGCAGCTGTAGAAAGAGGCTGATGCTCCGTCCAAGCAAAAACTAATAATGTGAATCCTTGCAAAAGCCAAGTTCCTTGATGAAGAATGAAAGCAGCATCCAAAGCAGAACTAAACTGAAGAACAAAACTTAAACGATGCTGCTGAATCACATGAACATGACCCCATAACTGCCAATGATGATTAATTAAAGCCTGAAGCGTAGATGCATGAAGCCAACGTCGATCATGAACATACAAGAACAGATAATGCTTACGACAGAAAGCCATCTGAGAAGGACAGCAACTGGGAAGATTCATCTTATATAAGAGGCAGAACCACAATAAAAAAGAACTAAGAGAACAGAGCACGCTAAGCTGCACAAGGAAAATAAGGCAACAAGTCAACAACATAGCAGGGAAGAACCACCGCCAAAATCGAGAGAAAAACTCTCCTCCCTTGAGTTCCTATACATAAAGCAGCTGGAAAGTATTTGTTTTCAAGTCATACTTTTTTTCTTATATTTTTACTCATACCAGTTAAACCAATTTCAATGAAAATAATATGGATAAAAGTTATATAGATATTATACTTCTCGCCTCGATTTCCATTCAGTTTTAATGACGATAAGATAGCTAATTCAACAAACGTCTAAACAGAGGACTAAAACTAACAAACGAATTGGCACATGAAACCCAGTAAAAACCATGCCAAAAGATTACCGATATATCACGAAAATCCTGCTTGAGTAACTGATTTTCCTTGTAAAACCAGCAAGCTGACATGGTTTTTCAAACCATGAAATTTTATTGATTAGATATGAAAAACTAATGAAATTGAGGTAAAAGAACACTATACAGTCATCATAAACTAAATGTATATATCTACCACAAGATACCAAGCAAAATTGTTAGACTAGAGTTTATAATAAAATAGACATCAAAACTACAAACGAAAGGGAAGACTACATAGAAGCATCTTCCAGATGACTCAGGTAAGTCTTAAGAGGCTTGACGTTGGGGTTCAAGTTATCATGTTAGTATCAAGCATATGTTTGAGAGAACATTTAAAGTAAGGATATAGAAGTCAAATACAGAGTTAAAAATGTTATAACATAAATTAATGGAAAAATCAGCACGAAAATTTCAATCCCTTTCCTCTCTGTTCTCCACAATCAAAAAATATTCTGAAGTATCCAAAGATGCAAGCAGACAAGATTGTGAAACAGAACTTGTTGATTATTATGTAGAAGCATCTTCGTGACAGTGACCCTTGTATGCCTCCAATAAAGCCTTTTCATTATCTCTAAACTCCGAAATGTACTTCTCCATGAATTTATCCTCCCGTAACTTAAGCACTGCAAGAAAATTCGGAATCTTATCAGGTATTAATTTTTTTGAGATTAACAGTTGGAGTACCCTCCATCGAGGAATCACCCTTTTCTCCATGCTTAACATCAAAATCACAGGGTTATTAACCAGTAGTGACCTAGGCACCATAATTTTATCCAAGCACACACCAATTCCAAATTTCAGCCTCTTCTCAGATTGATGAAGCAATGGGGGAGATCTTCTAAAGATTCGCATGGTCTCATCTTTGGAAAACCCGCAACTCTGAATTAACTCCAACTTTCTGTCAAGCTTAACAATGCTCAAACTAGAAATTACCCGAAGCGCATACACAAACATTCTTGAGTTTATGGAGAAACCCATGTTGACAGCCCGTGAAACATGGTTTTGAAGCAGAGATTCTTGTTGAACAAAAAGGCGACCTTCAGTTGCAAGTAAAAAGGAAAGCTGAGACCCAACGATCCCACAACTCTGTAAGAAAGCAGCATTACGCAAAACCTTTTGGTGGTTCGGGATCATCCAATTCCCATTTCTGTGCAGCAACTTAATCAAATCTTTCTCTTCGTTAATGATTCTCCTGAAAGCCTCCACAGAGGGCACCAACGTTTTATTCAAGCTACACACCAAAAGCTTTGCATTTTTTGATAGAAGCTTACTCAACTCAGAACCCTGGAACCCTAGAAGCTGAAAGTACTCGATTTTCGGCTTCAGGGTTTCACTGATACTGGAGAATAATATTTGGGGTTGACAACCAATCATAGACAGAATCTGCGATTCAGAAAGTCCAGTCTGTTTCAAATAATTAAGCACAGTCCATGGATGCTGAGGGCACCTAGCCTGAGAAAGTCGTTTTGAGATGTAGACGGATTGCGCTTTGGAGAGTTTGATGTTGGTGTTTAAGTAATCAATGATGGGAATGTGTTCGGCTGAGAAATGAGTTGGGATAGAAAGTAGAGAACAGAGAAAGAAAGGTTCTGGACAAATTACTCACAGAATTCAAAAGAGTGGGGTTTGATTTGAGAAACTGCATTGCTACACAGCGATGCAAACTCATTCTCGTGAAATGCCCTATTTCACTGTTTGGGCTACCTCATGAGCTAGAATTAGGAAATAGGAATAAATGGCGAAAAGGAAGAGCAGATCAGTACCCTAATTCATGCATTGAACATACCTGAAAGTGAAAGAGATTAGGACTCCAAGGTTCAATGGAAGGAAGATTACGTCAACTCGTGTTGCAGTGAGACAAGCCCTCGACTATGAAGTTCGAACGATCTGAATTCTGCTTTAGAGCTAGAGTTGTGGCTAACTCAATTCAATTCATCGGAACTTCTTTGAATTGGTTTTAAAATATATAAAATATTAAAAAAAAATTCATATGATCTAGCATACTCTTAATTCCTCAAGTTTTGATCCTAATTCAAACTGGACCTCAAATATTAAAATTATTAAATATTTTTTTTTAATTTTAATTTTTATTTTAAAAATTAATCTCTTTCATTCTTATATTATCTTATTAATAATAAAAAAGAAGAATTCAGATATTAGAACTAAATGTATTTGAATTTTGACTTAACCTGAATTTTTTTAAGTTTATTGAAGCTGTTTCAATAAAATAAAAGTAAAAAAAAAATTTAAAAACTCCTAAACCTAATTTAAAATTTTTTTAAACTTATTCGGACTAGCATATGGAGTTTAGTTCAAATTATTGCCTCCATCTGGAGCAGACAATAGACGGCGATGGCACTGCAATTGCCAATTGGTCTTTCCAATTTTCATAGCACCGCCGTAGTAAGTGTCGTTGGAGCACCCATTAAAAAGAAATTTGATTAAAACACCCCAAGAAAAAGAGAAATTAAGCCGAAGCTCCCTGTTCAAACAAAAACTTGTGCAATCATGACACTAAAAAAGCCTAAACAAATCTCCAATAAAAGCAGCTGTAGATTTGGAATCACACTTCATCAGTAATCCAAACAAAAAAATGGAAACTCCTTAAAAGTAACTGTAGAAAGAGGTTGATGTCCCGTCCAAGCAAAAACTGATTACGTGAATCCTTGCAAAAGCCAGGTTACTTGATGAAGAATGAAAGCAGCATCCAGAGCAGAACTAAAATAAGGAAAAAAGCTTGAACGATGCTGCTGAATCACACGAACATGGTTGATGCTCAGCACAAATCAAGCTAAAAGGCTACCGATATATCACGAAAATCCTGCTTGAGGAACTGATTTTCCTTGTAAAACCAGCAAGCTGACATGGTTTTTGAAACCATGAAATTTTATTGATTAGATATGAAAACAAACTAATGAAATTGAGGTAGAAGAACCTCATACAGTCATCATAAATTAAATGTATATATCTATCACGAGATTCAGAGCAAGATACCAAGCAAAATTGTTAGACTGTAGCTTATACAAAAATAAACATCAAAACTACATATTGAACGGAAGACTTTATAGAAGCATCTTCCAGATGACTCATGTAAGTCTTAAGAGGCTTGACCTTAGCTTTCAAGTTAACATGTTAGTATCAAGCGTATGTTTGAGGAAGAGCATTTAAAGAAAGAATATAAAAGTCAAATACAGAGTTAAAAATGTTATAATATAAATTAACGGAAAAATCAGCACGAAAATTTCAATTCCTTTCCTCTCTGTTCTCCACAATCAAAAAATATTCTGAAGTATCCAAAGATGCAAGCAGACAAGATTGTGAAACAGAACTTGTTGATTATTATATAGAAGCATCTTCGAGACAGTGACCCTTATATGCCTCCAATAAAGCCTTTTCATTATCTCTAAACTCCGAGATGTACTTCCCCAAGAATTTATCCTCCCGCAATCTAAGCACTTCAAGAAAACTTGGATTCTTATCAAGTAGTAATTTTTTTGAGATTAGCAGTTGGAACACCCGCCATCGAGGAATCACCCTTTTCTCCATGCTTAACATCAAAATCACAGGGTTCTTAACCAGTAGTGACCTAGGCACCATAATTTTATCCAAGTACACATCAATTCCAAATTTTAGCCTCTTCTCAGATTGGTGAAGCAATGCGGGAGCTCTTCTGAAGATTTGCATGGTCTCATCTTTGGAAAACCCGCAACTCTGAATTAACTCCAACTTCCTGTCAAACTTAACAATGCTCAAACTATTAATTACCCGAAGCGCATATACCAACATTCTTGAGTTTATGGAGAAACCCATGTTGACAGCCCGTGAAACATGGTTTTGAAGCAGAGACTCTTATTGAACAAAAAGGCGACCATGACATGTAAGTAAAACGGAAAGCTGAGAACCAACGATCCCACAACTCTGGAAGAAAGCAGCATTGCGCAAAACCCTTTGGTATTTCGGGATCATCCAATTCCCATTTCTGTGAAGCAACTTCTTCAAATCTTTCTCATCATTAACGATTTTCCTGAAAGCCTCCACAGAGGGCACCAACGTTTTATTCAGACTACGCGTCAAAAGAGTTGCATTCTTTGACAGAAGCTTACCCAACTCAGAACCCTCGAACCCTAGAAGCTGAAGGTACTCAATTTTCGGCTGCAGGGTTTCATTGACTCTGGAGAATAATATTTGGGGTACACTACCAATCATAGATAGAATCTGCGATTCAGAAAGTCCAGTCTGTTTCAAATAATTAAGCACAGTCCATGGATGCTGAGGGCACCTAGCCTGAGAAAGTCGTTTTGAGATGTAGACGGATTGAGCTTTGGAGAGTTTGACGTTGGTGTTGAGGTAATCAATGATGGGAATGTGTTCGACTGAGAAATGAGTTGGGATAGAAATGGTAGAGAACAGAGAAAGAAAGGTTCTGGACAAATTACTCACAGAATTCAAAAGAGTGGGGTTTGATTTGAGAAAGTGCATCGCTACACAGCGATGCAAACTCATTCTCGTGAAATGCCCTATTTCTTTGTTTGGGCTGCCTCATGAGCTAGAATTAGGAAATAGGAATAAATGTCGAAAAGGAAGAGCAGATCAGTACCCTAATTCATGCCTTGAACATACCTGAAAGTGAAAGAGATTAGGACTCCGAGGTTCAATAGAACGAAGATTACGTCAACTCGTGTTGCAGTGAGACAAGCCTTCGACTATGAAAGTTCGAACGATCTGAATTCTGCTTTAGAGCTAGTGGTGTGGCTAACTTAATTCAATTCATTGGAACTTGTTTGAATTGGTTTTAAAATATTGTAACATATTGAGAGGAAAAAAAAAATCACATGATCTAGTCTATTCTTAATTCCTCAAGTTTTTACCCTAATTCAAGCTGGGCCTCAAATATTTAAATTATTAAATATTATTTTTTTAATTTTAATTTTTATTTTAAAAATTAATATCTTTCATTTTTATATTATTTTATAAATAATAAAAAATAAAAATTCAAATATTAGAACTAAATCTATCTGAATTTTCGCTTAACCTCAATTTTTTTATGTTTATTCAAGCTGTTTCAATAAAATCAAAGTAAAAAAGAAAAAAACTTTAAAACTTCTAAACCTAATTCAAAATTTTTTTAAACTTATTCACAACACCAGCATATGGGGTTTAGTTCAAATTATTGCCTCCATCTGGAGCAGACAATAGACAGCGATGGCACTGCAATTGCCAATTGGTCTTTCCAATTTTCATAGCACCGTCCGTAGGTTCCATTAAAAAGAAATTTGATTAAAACTCTCCAAGAAAAACAGATATTAAACCGAAGTTCCCAGTTCAAGTTGCAATCATGACACTAAAAAGGCCCAAACAAATCTCCAATAAAAGCAGCTGAAGATTTGGAATAACACTCCATCAGCAATCCAAACAAAAAACTGGAAACTCCGTAAAAGTAACTGTAAAAAGAGGTTGATGCCCTGTCCAAGCAAAAACTGATTACGTGAATCCTCGCAAAAGCCAAGTTACTTGATGAAGAATGAAAGCAGCAGACAGAGCAGAACTAAAAGAACAAAGCTTGAACGATGCTGCTAAATCACACGAACATGGTCGATGCTCAGCACAAATCATGCTAAAAGGTTACCAATATATCAAGAAAATCCTGCTTGAGTGACTGATTTTCCTTGTAAAACCAGCAAGCTGACATGGTTTTTGAAACCATGAAATTTTATTGATTAGATATGAAAACAAACTAATGAAACTGAGGTAAAAGAACCTCATACAGTCATCATAAATTAAATGTATATATCTATCACGAGATTCCAAGCAAGATACCAAGCAAAATTGTTAGACTGTAGTTTATATAAAAATAAACATCAAAACTACATATTGAAGGGAAGACTATATAGAAGCATCTTCCAGATTACTCAGGTAAGTCTTAAGAGGCTTGACCTCAGCTTTCAAGTTAACATGTTAGTATCAAGCGTATGTTTGAGGAAGAGCATTTAAAGAAAGAATATAAAAGTCAAATACAGAGTTAAAAATGTTATAATATAAATTAATGGGAAAATCAACACGAAAATTTCAATTCCTTTCCTCTCTGTTCTCCACAATCAAAAAATATTCTGAAGTATCCAAAGATTCAAGCAGACAAGATTGTGAAACAGAACTCGTTGATTATTATGTAGAACCATCTTCGAGACAGCGACCCTTGTATGCCTCCAATAAAGCCTTTTCATTATCTCTAAACTCCGAAATGTATTTCGCCAAGAATTTATCCTCCCGCAATCCAAGCACTTCAAGAAAACTTGGATTCTTATCAAGTTGTAATTTTTTTGAAATTAGCAGTTGGAACACCCTCCATCGAGGAATCACCCTTTTCTCCACGCTTAACATCAAAATCACAGGGTTACTAACCAGTAGTGACCTAGGCACCATAACTTTATCCAAGTACATGTCAATTCTAAATTTTAGCCTCTTCTCAGATTGGTGAAGCAATGCGGGAGCTCTTCTGAAGATTCGCATGGTCTCATCTTTGGAAAACCCGCAACTCTGAATTAACTCCAACTTCCTGTCAAACTTATCAATGCTCAAACTATAAATTACCCGAAGCGCATATACCGACATTCTTGAGTTTATGGAGAAACCCATGTTGACAGCCCGTGAAACATGGTTTTGAAGCAGAGACTCTTGTTGAAGAAAAAGGCGACCATGACATGTAAGTAAAACAGAAAGCTGAGACCCAACGATCCCACAACCCTGGAAGAAAGCAGCATTGCGCAAAACCTTTTGGTACTTTGGGATTATCCAATTCCCATTTCTATGAAGCAACTTCATCAAATCTTTCTCTTTATTAACGATTTTCCTGAAAGCCTCCACAGAGGGCACCAAAGTTTTATTCAAACTATACACCAAAAGATTTGCATTCTTTGACAGAAGCTTACCCAACTCAGAACCCTGGAACCCTGGAACCCTAGAAGCTGAAAGTACTCATTTTCGGCTTTAGGGTTTCACTGACTCTGGAGAATAATATTTGGGGTACACTACCAATCATAGATAGAATCTGCGATTCAGAAAGACCAGTCTGCTTCAAATAATTAAGCACAGTCCATGGATGCTGAGGGCACCTAGCCTGAGAAAGTCGTTTTGAGATGTAGACGGATTGAGCTTTGGAGAGTTTGACGTTGGTGTTGAGGTAATCAATGATGGGAATGTGTTCGGCTGAGAAATGAGTTGGGATAGAAACGATAGAGAACAAAGAAAGAAAGGTTCTGGACAAATTACTCACAGAATTCAAAAGAGTGGGGTTTGATTTGAGAAACTGCATTGCTACACAGCGACGCAAACTCATTCTCGTGAAATGCCCTATTTCAATGTTTCGGCTACCTCATGAGTCAGAAGTAGATGTAAATGGCCAAAAGGAAAGAAAGAGAAGATCAGTACCCTGATTCACACATTGGGCATACCTAAAATTGGAAGAGATCAGGACCTGAAGCTTATCATGTCAGCTCGTGCTGCAATGAGACGAGAACTGCTTTGAATCGTCCGGAGGTAAGACTTTTCTTTTTTTTTTTCTTTTTTTCTTTTGTTTTTTTTGGGGGGGTGTGTGGGTGGTTGTTTTTGTAAAGGTAAGATTTGTTATGTTCAAGTTGTATTTTGTACGTTAAGCAGAGTCGTGGATTCCATGGATTTTTTCCCGGTTAGAGGGCAATTTCCTCTCAAACTATAGACCAACCCTTGTGTTAATGCTAATCTTATTTTTAATATAATATTTTTTTATATTTTTAAATAGAATACTCTCTTTATTTTAAATAATAAAATATTTTTTTAAAAAAATTATATATCACTAAACTTCATTAAATATGCCTAACAATTTTATCTTTTCAAAATAAAACTATAAACTTTTAAAAATAGCCATCATTCAATATAAGTAGAGCTGTCAATTAGGATTAGGACTTAAATAGGCTAGCCTTGTTAAACTCAATTATCTTTAATGCTTTATTTTGACCAGTCCAGCCTTGACTCTTAGAGCTGAAGAGCTGTCCCTATTTATATGTTGATAAAGAAGTAGAGCTGTCAATTAAGGCCTTGGCTTAAACGGGCTAGCCTTATTAAGCCCGATTACCTTTAGTGCTCTATTTTGACCAATTCGACCTTGGCTCTTAAGGCTAAAGGGCTGTCCATATTTATATATTTTTTATTTTCAATTTAAAAATCTAAAAAATATATTTAAAATCCTAAAAAAATTATTACGCATAATATTAAGTCTAGAAATATAAAATTAAGACAATATACACAATAACAAATTCAAGTCTAATCAAAAGTAGCAATATCACAAAATCAATACTGATAGCAATTAAACTTTGCTAGCATCATCAACTAAATTTTGATGATTTTCATTGTCATCAACATCAATATAATTTGATCATTCTCCTTATGGAGTCTCATCAATGGTAAAAATATTAAACTTTTTATATATTCCTTATTCATCATCATTATTTGCAACAAATAATAAACCAAAAACATAATTTCAATATATTTAAAATATGCAAAAAATATTCAAAGTAAATCAATAATAATAAATTATCATTCAACTCAAAACCATGCAAGGAGCATGAATGACAAAAATTAAATGACTATGAAAGAGGCAAGCTAAGGTTTTAAGTTTTCTAATTCTTTTATTTCCAGTGTGTAATGTTTATTTTTTATATTAAATTTAATATATATATATATATATATATATATAAGGGCCTAAAAGGGCTGATCCTTTTATTTTTAGGCTTAAAATGATTGGTCTTTTTAAGCCCAATTTACAATTTTACACCTCAAAGAAGCGGCCTAGCCCTAGATTTTGTCGGGCTTAAAAGGGCCGGCTTGACAGGCTTAGTCCTAATCGATGACTCTAAAGAGAAGGGATAGAAATTAATTATAAAAAAAAGTAATATTAGAATTAGTATGTTTAAAAAAACCTTAATCTACTTAAAGTGCCTTATATTTTGAGATGAAAAAACCTCCTTTAAAAGTACCCTATAATTTAGGACGCAGAGAGTATAATGTTATTTCTGTTATGAAAAATAAAAAGAATATAAGATATCGAAATGAAAGATGTAAGGTCTCCCTTACTAAACTACAATTAACTCCAGTATCAAGGTAATGAAGGGACTGAGCTCACAAGAATTACTAAGTTTGTAAAATTATATGAATGGGAAAACAATTCTCAAAACATTTATAATAGGATCCCACACTTTTAACAATTAAATTTCTCTCATAAACTTATAGATTATTCAAAATCATAGTTTTAAAGAAACATGAAAGCCCAAAAATCATATAGGACCCAAACCATTAGGTTTCAAATTCAAAATACTGAAATTGTGCAAAAAATGTGTCATGCACTACAACTAAGTGTCAATATGCCGCCACTCACTCGCCTCTATGCCATAAGCCACAACATTAGCACCATGCACCCTAGCCCATTGTACGCAATTTGACAGCAAATAGCTGCTGTCATTTGACAACAGTGGGGGAAAACTTTCGACGCATCCTGTAACATCTCAATTTTTAATTCCCTGAATTACTAAGATTAATAAGGATAATTATGTAAGTTGATGTAGTATGTAGTCAGAGGAGAGTAATAAGTGTTTTTAGTTAAAATTTTAGATATAATTTAGGTTCAAAGTGAAATTGAGTCACTTAGGGACCTAAAAGTGAAGAAAAATAAGTTAAACAACCTCTGTGCCATATGCCGCAGCACGTGCACAGTGCGTTGCAACACTCAAGGCCATTAGATGAGAATTTCCTTCTTTGTACCACATGCTTGATGTGTGGGGACATGTGTCGTGGTGAAAGGTGTGAAATCTACAAAATTAATACGTGAACTGATACGAAAAATAGAGAGAAAGAAAAGAGAGAAAGAAAGAGACGTACTAAGCTCTGCTAGAGTTTACTTGTGGACGATATTGGGAGCATTTTGGAGGCTAAAAACACCCAAGATAAGAATTAAACTCATTAATCTTCCCATTTCTTCCATATTTATGAGTTTATAATTAGGGTTTGATAATAGATGTGGATTTTCGATCCATATAAATTATGGGTCTAAATTTATTGACTCAAATGGAGTTAATGGGAGAATATTAGAGTATCTAAACTAAGTATAATGAATTTTTAGTGCCTTGAATTGTTGGGCACCATTAATATCCAAAAAATCTCATTTATTGTAGGTAGTTGGAAGATTGTGATGCCATTAATGAGAATTTAATAGTTCATTAATATTATTGAGGACTAAAGGTAATTAATGAATTTAAGGATAGGCTCAACTTCTTATGGAGTGAATGTTAGGCAATTTAAAAGTGGAGATTGATGGTTTAATGCTTGAGATGGTAATGTTGATGAAATTCAACTTGGTTGATTGTAGTGTTTGGCTTTTGATCATCTATTGAATTGAAAAATTCAAACTTAAAAACTAGTAGATTGAGGGGTAAATCTTAGAAATCTTAAAGGTTTGAGGTAACTGGAAGAATCTAACTTTGGATAGTTATATGTTAATTAATTGTTAAATGTGAATTGTGAATATTACATGCATAGGTTTGATTTTCAATGTGAAACCATGTATTAGTTCATTGAGTGTATGAAAATTTAATGTGCATAATGTTATTATGGTTTAAAATGCAAATGTCAAATTAAGATGTTTTTGAATTACAAATATTCATATGTCTTTAAAAAGATAAATGTGATGATGTATTGTAAATGAGTAGTAATTGATTGATTTGATAAAGATGAGCAATTGTGATTAAAAAACACGTGCATATGATATAAGTGAAGGATAAGAAATTGATGTACACTTGAGTAGCGCTTGGTTGTGAGCCCAATGTGTTGATTCTAATAATAAGTAAAGAAAAATTAAAAAAGTAAGTATTGACTATGGCATGATCAATGGGCAGGAGTTTGCCTAGGAAATAGGAGTAGAGAAAAAAATCCATATGGTATTTAAACTGCCATTCGATACATAGGGTTATAGCTTTGTTTTACAGTTTGTTAAGGACTGTCCCATAGTTTATCGAGGGACTGAACCTAACTATCTCTACTAGTTCAATAAGGAGAATAGTCTAGGGTATGGACACCCCAAAGATTGGAGAATAGGAGAAGCCGTGGTCTGAAAGTGAGTCATGTGATCTTTGATCGGATCATACCTCATGATTGGTGAGCTTGGGTAGTCCAATCACACGGACAGAGTTTATTCAGTGTTATAGCACATGGTTTCAGTCTGAGAAAATAAGAAGGATATAAGATTGGTTAATCATTGCCTAAGTAAATTTATGACGTGTCACACGTATTAAGTTATGGCAAGTTATGTGAATGATGGGTCAAGATCACATATTTGGGAATATGGTGACCATATACCTAGTAGATGTGAGATAAAGAAGTTATTAAATAATAAATGACAAGATATGATATGTGTAGCATGTTTTACATAATTAGTTTCTCATACATATACTTGGTTTATAATTAATATATAACTACATAGGATTGGTTTAAATTTAGTTATTAAGTGACTAGACTCACATCTTTCATTTAATACTTTTTAGGCTCTATCTCTAGTGCAAAGAGGGAGAAGGCTCAATAGGCTAGAAATTAGCATATTCCTACTGTATGCCTCTAGCTTAGATTTATTTTTTGTTATAGTATATAAATGTCAATTCTAGGATGCATGCCATCACATTTGCACTATTTTGTTATTGCAAATACTAAATTTATATTTTGGGTCCTAAGTATTTGTGTATGTTGAGATATATATATATATATATATATATGTTTATAGGGCAAAAATACCAGTACAAGTGTAGCAATGATGATTTGAATATGTTTAGATTGAAGATGCAAAGTGATGACAATTTGCCTCCCCTTCTGTTTTTGATAAAATGGGGTTGATGAGTGAATTTTTGTTATAATATTGTTTTAGTGCTTGTAACATATTATACTGATAGTCTTAGATTTAATGAACATGATCCAGGTATTAGGAAAAGCTTTTGGCACTTGTTAAGGGTTTTAGACACCCATTTTGTGTGAAAATCATGAAAAGTAGTTAAAATGTATTTAAGTATCCAACTTCCTAGTGTGACTTATTTTGAAAGTAAAACCCATGCCATTTGTTAGTTCATATAAAGAGCTTTTTATAGGCACCTAAATCATGTCATTCGGATGTCAGACAGGGAATCGGGGCGGGTTAGAATTTTCCTGATTTTGTTGTCAAATGACAACAGAATGAGTTAAATTTTTGTGCAACACGCTGCGGCATGTGGCACCTAAGCAGCGGCCCGTGGCATAGAGAGTAACATGCTGCGACACAATGTGCAC